CCAGAGATTATCAGTTTTAATTCCTTAGTAAATATTCACTCTGATCTTTTTCTACACCCACAAATAGATATTTGTATTTTCATCAACCTGAAATTATACTTTTTCATGTTACATTGTAACCTCCTCTTTCCAGTGAATGAATCTTTCCCTATCCATTTCTGCAAACTTTCAACTCATTTAATATACAGACCATATTCATATTTTCCCAGTTGACCCCAAAATAGCTATAGCTTGTCTGTCCAAATCACAGTTCAGTTCAGGACTATACATATCATGTAGTTGTTCCATCCCTGAAATCTGTTTAATCTAATAGAAGCTTTTGTTTAATGACATTGATTTGCCTAAGAGGATCAGGCCATGTGTCCTGCAGAATGTCTCGCCTTCAGGATTTGTTGCTCCCTCATTGTATTGTTTTAAGTTGTTCCTTTGTCCCTTGAATTTATCATACATTAGAAGTTAGATCTAAATGCTCAGTTGGTTTAAATAAAATATTTTTGGCTAGAATATATTATAGATGACTTGTGTGTTACACAATGCATAACATCAGAAGACACATTATACCTGGTTGATTCCCATAGTTGTGACTACTGAATCAAGATGATGAGAGTCTGATCCCTCTTTATGTAAACCTTCTTGGAACTGAAAGTACGTATTCTCTGTAGCAGTTTACCTAATGGTTAAAACTTAAACTGTGTGTGGGTGTTTTTTTTTTAACATTACTTGATAATTCTTGCCTAAATTACTACTATTATTAGAGAAGTGCTGTTTTTCTAATTCTATGGTGGGTTTTTTTTACATTTATTAATTGATGTTCTTCTGTAAAGTATATATAGCTTTCCCTCATCACTTGGAACAGGATAAAATTTTAATTCATTTTCCTTAATTGTCAATTTTCAACATGGGGAGTTACTTTATTATTTTTATTGATTGATTTTAGAAAGAGAGGAAGGGGGGGAGAGAGAGAGAGAGACCTCTCTTAATTGCCTCAAATTCCATGCAGCTACTATGGGGGTGGGGGGTGGGGGTGAGAAGGGAATAAGAAGCAGAATAACAACCCTATCCTATATAATAAAAGCCTAATATGCAAGTTGACCGAACATCAGAATGACTGGTGGAACGACCGGTCGCTATGATGTGCACTGACCACCAGGGGGCAGATGCTCAATGCAGGAGCTGCCCCCAGCCTGCAGGCCCCAGGCTAGCCAAGGCGGGTGCGAGTGGCCCCCCCCCCCGATTGCCCCACGGTCGCCCCACAGAGGGAGGCAACTGGCGGTGGCAGGGGGCAGGGCTGGCCGGCGAGCGGGCGACGCCAGGCCAGCCAAGGCTGGTGCCAGCGGGGACCCTCAATCAGCCCTGCTGGTTACCCCACAGAGGGAGTTGACCAGCAGAGGTTGGGGGGTGGGGGCAGGGCTGGGGAGTGGGTGGTGCCAGGCTGGCCAAGGCGGGTGCCAGTGGGGGCCCTGCCCTGATTGCCCTGCTGGTCACCCCACAGATCGACCCTGATCGTGGGCCACACCTAGGGACCCTACCCATGCATGAATTTTGTGCACTGGGCCTCTAGTAGACAATAAAGCACAAAATGGACAAATATTGTCCAATTTTGCCAACTGGGAATTGAGCCTGCAACCTTTTGATATGCAGGATGATGCTCCAACCAACTGAGCCACCCTGCCAGGGCAAAATGGGGAGTTACTTTAATAGTACCCTAAAATGGTACAAATTATTTTTAGTATTTTTGAATATCATAAAGGGCTCACAGATTTTAAAATTTTTTTATTGATTACAGAGAGGAAGAGAGATAGAAACATCAATGATGAGAGAGAATCATCGATCAGCTGCATGACCCCTACTGGGGATTGAGCCCACAACCCGGGCATGTGCCCCGGCTGGGAATCTAACTGTGACCTCCTGGTTCATAGGTCAACGCTCAACCACTGAACCACGAAGTCTGGGCAGGTTCACAGATTTTTATCATTACATGTGTTTTTAAAAATATATATATTTTATTGATTTTTTACAGAGAGGAAGGGAGAAGGATAGAAAGTTAGAAACATCCATGAGAGAGAAACATCAATCAGCTGCCTCCTGCACACCCCCTACTGGGGATGTACCCGCAACCAAGGTACATGCCCTTGACCGGAATCGAACCTGGGACTCTTCAGTCCACAGGCCGACGCTCTAGCCACTGAGCCAAACTGGTCAGGGCTCATTACATGTGTTTTAATCTACCAACAGTTATTCCTTTTAATGCTCATGTTACCACTTTTGGCCACTAGGACTTCTTTCAAGCTGGGTCTTAAAACCTTTTAAAGTGACCCATTCCTTGCTTTCTGGCACAGCAAAACGACCCAGTTTCACATTGTGCTTTCCTTCTCTTAGACCTGAAATTAGCTCGTTTTTTTTTTCTTGTTGTTTTTTTTTTTTTCAGGGAGCACTTTTGGTGATGAAACATATCAAAGAATGAGATCTGAACTTTAAAGAGATTATCATTGCCACTAGTATGATATTTTTTCTGTGCCATTTGAGTGAACGAACTAGAAAATATTTATCTTAAAATGAGAGTTCATATTGATACTTTAAATTCTGTTTTAACATTTGTGTTTTCTCTCTTAATTTCTTTGATTTTATAATTGTGTCATTTCTCTTATTCTCAGCATCTAGATTCCTAACGTGATTAACATAACTCATTACTTGCTTTCACCTAACATATAATGGAAATAGTTTCACAATACCAACATTGATGTAACTACAAGGAGTAGAACTCTTCATCTTTACACTGCAGCTTGCTAAGGATGCACAATCAAAATACTATGTTTCTAACTCCTTGGAATCCCTTTTTTGTGGGTTATGTTATTGTTTGGGCATATAGTTATATTTATTTACTTAAATTGTTCTTAAGAGAATGTTCAAAATTCTGTAGAAAGATAAACATGGAGAACTCTAGCTTCTGCCCCTGCCTACTCCACCCTCTTCTGTCCTAACCCATATAGATGGCTATTTTCATTCTTTTTTTTTGGTTTATCCTTCTGGTGTTGCCTTTTGCAAATATAAACAAATACAATGCAATTAAGTACCCACCATTGTAAGTTCATGTCTTTTAAAAGTCCTTTGCTGTAGTGATTTTACTGGGGTGTCAGGAGGAATCAAAATTACATTTGTGTGTTCAGACTGCCATCTTAACCTGGTTAAGTGTTCCTCCTTCATGAAACACTTTTACCTATCACTTGGTGTCAAGATACCAAACTTGTTTCCATTTTAGAACCCTTATATTTACTGTTTCCTCAGCCTCAATTGTTCTCCAGATTATCACATGGCTGGCTTCTTCTCAGCATCTTACTTCTTCTCTTTTTCTAATCTCTGCTATCAGAGTTGTAGTTTTCAAGAGTTTTGTTTTAGTTTTTTGAAAAAAATATTTTTAAATCATTTTTATTTCATGGCTGTCTCTTTGAGGATATTAATTATAAAGGCTTTTTTAAAAAAAAAGTTGTAACTTTTGGGTGTTTTTCTTTTCTGTTTCTTTTGATTTTCTTTCTGCTTGTTTTCAGTATTGCCTTTCATATTGGAGGCCTCCCTGAAGTGGTTGGTTCATTGTGAGTGAGATATTTAAAAGCTGATTAGATGTAAGGAATATTCAAAACAGCACTATTTCTAAGGGTTTCAAACTGGAAACAACCTAAATGTCTATCAACAGAAGAATGGATAAATACGTTGTGGTCTAGTCATACAATGAAATACTATTTTGGAGTGAGAATGAATAAACTACGTCTACATGCAATAATAAGGGTGCCTGTCACAAACAGAATGTTGAGTGAAAGCAACCAGACACAAAAGAGTACATACTGTAGGCTTCTGTTTCTTTAATGCTCAAAAACACACCAAACTAATCTGAGGTATTGGAAGTCAGGATAGTGGTTGCCTTTGGGATAGGCCCAGTGACTAGTGACTGGTAGGGGACCCAAGGGGCCTTATGGAATTCTGATCATCATGTTCAGCTTCTTGAATTGGGTCCTGGTTCTATGTGTGTTCACTTCACATAATTTTATTGAAGTATACATTAGATTTGTGTGTTTTTTCATACATGTGTTATGCTTCAAATAAAAGTTTATATGAAGTGCCCTAGCCGGTTTGGTTCAGTGGATAGAGCATTGGCCTGCAGACCAGAGGGTCCCAGGTTCGATTCCTGTCAAGGGCACGTACCTCGGTTGCAGGCTCCTCCCAGCTCTGGCCCTGGTCCGGGTGCATGCATGAGGCAACCAATCGATGTGTTTCTCTCACATCGATGTTTCTCTTCGTCTTTCTCTCTCTCTTCCACTCTCTAAAAAGATCAGTGGAAAAATATCCTCTGGTGAGGATTAACAACAACAACAAAAAGTTTCTATGAAGTAAAAAAGCTAGTTGAATATCTATGTGAGCAGGATTTATTGACTGGTGCCCACAGTGTGGTCAGTCTGGGCATCCAAGCAACACTCTTTCATTGGGGATGCCTGAATGTCAGTGTCTGAGGATGGGGTATAGATATGTTTATTCTTTCTGCTATGTCTAACTGGAAGTCTTTAGACCTCTTTCTAAACGTTCGTTATTGACAAGACAAGGTATTACTTGCTCACTTTTGAAATGTATCCAAGATAAAGTGGGAACATCAGGTTCTTCTTTGAAAAGTACAGTAGGTAGAATTGGAATTTCTATTCATTCATTTATTCAGAAAAAATCTATAAAGACAAAACAGGATCCAAATCCTCATGGTGTGTAGAGTAGAGCAGAAATTGCAAACATTAAATCTAAGTGGGATGAGTTATGGAGGAAAATATATACTGCCGTGGAAGCGTAGAATCCGGGAACCTAGCCTAGTCTCCAGGGACAGGGACGCTTTCTTTAAGGAAGTAAATATTGTAGTTAGGTGAAGAATAGAGGGAAGTACTAGACTTTTTTCTTAATGCAAATGTCTCAACTTGATATGGAAACCTTTATTCCTGTCTGACCACTCTATTATGTGATTTCAGGTGGAGAGTATAGTGAAGATGATGTAAATGAATTAGTGAAGGAAGATGAAGTGGATGGTGAAGAGCAAACACAGAAAACCAAAGGGAAAAAAAGAAAGGCTCAGAGCATTCCTGCCAGGTAACGCTGCCCACAGGGCCCTTAGAAGTCAGGGCTAGTGTCACTACCATCCTGATTGCTGGGATTGGAGTTGCTGCTAGGGTTTCTTACCGTTGAAGGGAAACATTTGGTGACATTTCAGGATTAAAATTATTTTGAGTACTAATTTAAAAAATTTAATAGGTAATATGTACACAATTAAAATGAAAAACTTAGTTACTACCAAAATGTGTACCCCATTTCTAGCCCTTGTTGCTGTGCCTCAGAAGAACTTTGCTACCAGAGATATTCTGTGCATGTGCAAGTGTGTATGTATATATTTCCTACTTTCTTTAAAAACAACAACAGCAAATGGCATACTCTGCTTACCGTTTCTTATTTTCATTATTTTACATCTTGAAGATGATACCATGGAAATATATCTAGCTATATTTTATTCTTTTCAGTGGCTGCATAATATTTCACTGTATGAATAGACTTTATTTAAGGATTCTCTTATTGAGACATATTTAATTTGTACCTCATCTTTACTACAACAAACAAGACTGCAGTGAATATTTTTTATATATATCTTCATGTAAATGTGGAAGTATACCTGTAAATCAGGTCTGTAGAAGTAGAATTGTTTAATCAAAGGTTATATGCAATAAAAAAATTATTTATAGATATTAGCAAATTACCTTCTATAGACCTGGTACTGAATTACACTCCCTCCAAAAATTATGAAAATTCTGTTGGGTTATTTAACTCACATAAGAGAATCTTCCATAGAAGTCTTTTATTCTCTTTGATTGGTGTTTCTGTCTCTCTGGCAAAAAGCAAATTGTAATTTATAAAAAGGGAAAAAGGAATTTTAGGTATTAAATTCACTTGAAGTTAAAATCAATTTACTTGCATAAGTTTTGGGTCCAGTTTCTTTGTCTTTGAAATTTTCTGTATTCCAGCTTTCATATCTTCAGAAAATGGGAAGAAATATGGATCCTGTCCCTAGGGAATTGTAAGAATAAACAGTGCAAATAAATTTGAGGCTCTCCTCAATAAAGCATATTCTCCAAATGTGTTGACTTCAAAAAGTCAAAAAAATCTGCTACATATATATTCTTGGAACACTCTTGCTAGACAGATTGATTCTGTGAGGTGATTTGGGGCGTTTCTTGGTGAAAATAGCTGGTCCTGACTTAGAAGTAGAACACTGTATTTTGATTCCAAGTGTTTTAGAGGAAGCTAAGAGCTCAATTCTTTTTTTCTTCCACAAAATCTCAGTGTACCTCTTCTATGCTTCCTCAGTGTGCATCTTAGTAGTCCCGGATTTAAAAGTTTTCTTGAGTTTGCAACATTATGTTTGGAATTGAGGAAGGGATAACTGAAATCATTTTGCATGTCTTCTCTTTCTTTTTCCTTGTAATGTTGGTGATTAGGAAGAGAAAACAAGGTGGCCTCTCATTAGAAGAAGAGGAAGAGGAGGATGTCAGTGGGGAATCTGGAGGAAGCAGCAATGAGGAGGAAGACACAGCTGCAGAGCAAGAAGGAGGCACCAGGTCCGAGGATGCAAGGAAAAAGAAGGAGGATGAACTGTGGGCCAGCTTCCTCAACGATGTGGGACCAAAATCAAAAGTGCCCTCGAGTCCACAAGTTAAAGTAAGTTGCTAAGTGAATGAGATGAAGTTTCTCCAGAAATACCCTAAATTGTCCAAATAGATTTTATTACATTTACAAACTGAGATTTGAATCTTCTAGCAGAAATCAGACTACATAGCCCTAACTGGTTTGGCTCAGTGGATAGAGTGCCGGCCTGCAGACTGAAGGGTCCCGGGTTCGATTCCCATCAAGGGCACATGCCCAGGTTGCGGGCTCGATCTCCAGTGGGGGACGTGTAGGAGGCAGCCAGTCAGTGATTGTCGTGTAGGAGGCAGCCAGTCAGTGATTGTCATCGTTGATGTTTCTGTATCTCTTTCCCTCTCCCTTCCTCTCTATATCACCCAGTGTGCATCTTAATCAGTAGTCCTAGATTTAAAAGTTTTCTTGAGTTTGCAACATTATGTTGCAAAAATAAAAATAGATTTAAAAGAATAAAAAAAGAAAGACTACATAGATGCCTTTTGATAGTAACTCTATTAAGTGAAAAGTAAAGCATTCCTCTGGTAGGAAAAATTAGCTTTTCCAATCAAATAAATTTTCAGTAGCTCTTTAACTGTTTAGAGATGAAACATTTATGAATAGCCATAAACAGCATGTTTGAATGGTTCGTTTATATTTAATTCTTATGTGAAACTGATTACATTTCTCTTTTCATAGAAAAGAGAAGAGACTGAAGAGACTAGTTCAAATAAACTGTTGGTCAAAGCAGAAGAGCTAGAGAAACCTAAAGAAACAGAAAAAGTTAAAATCACCAAGGTGTTTGATTTTGCTGGTGAAGAAGTCAGGTAAGATGACCTTCACAAACTTCCAAATTAGTTCTTTTAAAAATGAGAATCTTTCTAAATGGTGCTATGAGTCATCTGTCCTCATTCCACCCCATCATAATATTTTGGGAGAGTTATATTTGATCTCAGAGAAAACAGTGGTTCCATGAATTATCAGAGAATGTGAGAAAGGGCCTTTCACATATCAAAATCTAGTTTTGGAGTATTATGAAGTGGTTGGCTGAACAGAAACAGGAAAATGTATGAGTAAAGTATATGGTTCCACATACTCATTGACATGTCTTGTGACTTCGGCTGTCATTTCTCCATTTATTACTTTACTTGACTATGAAGTATGAGCCCCAGTGAAGCCTCTGAAATCAGATAAGAATTAAAAGTGCCAGGAGAGAAATTTGGTTCCAATATTATTTCCTTACTTTAATATTACTATTACTATTATTATTATTATTGTTTTTTATTGATTTCAGAGAGGAAGGGAGAGGCAGAGATAGAAACATCAATGATAAAAGAAATTCATTGATTGGCTGCTTCCTGAATGCACCCTACTGGGGATCGAGCCCAAAACCTGGGCACGTGCCCTTAACCGGAATCGAACCGGGGCCCCTTTAGTCCACAGGCCGACGCTCTATCCACTGAGCCAAACTGGCTAGGGCATTAATATTATTTTTTAAATTGATTCAGGAGGTTTGTTATTGTTACTGGTTTAGAAAAAACAGTTAGGGACTTAATAACCTCCTGGCCATTCCAGGTAATAGCCACATGCTGAGAATTTCCTCTTTCCTACTTACTTAAACTTTATTATGTGAAAACAGCAGGTCTGTACTTTAGAGCTAAATGAGAATACATGAAGTGCCAATTAATAATTTTTAGGTAATCACATTTATTTTTTTTGACAGTAATTAATTAGACCTGTATGCTCTTTGAAAAGATAATTTCCCCTAAAATCGACATTCTTTTTTTTTAATCCTCACCTGAGGACATGTTTTCATTGATTTTTAGAGAGAGATGAAGGGAGAGAGAGAAAAACATCGATGTGAGAGAGAAAAACATTAATTGGTTGCCTCCCATATGTGCCCAACCAAAAATGGAACCCACAACCTAGGCATATGCCCTGACTGGGAATCAAACCCGCAGCTTTTTGGTATATGGGATGACACTCCAAGTAACTGAGCCACCTGGGCAGGGCTAAAATAAATATTCTTAAAAATAATATCTAAGTTTCCAGCAATTATTTCATCCAGTGAAAATACATCTTGGAAAAAAGAATTCGCTAATATTAGTTTTATAAATGGTGCGGAGCAAAACTTTTTAATACTTAAAAAAAGTTTTCTCCCCAACTTTTTCTTCTGAAAAATTTCACTTAAAGTTTTAAATTAAATAAAATAGCTTATTTTTTCATGTTAATGTATCTAATCTGAGTTGGGTTGATGACAATACTACTCCTGGAGGATAATGTATATGTAAATTATTTCTGTGTTGTTTTCTTTTTTTAAAAAGATAATATTCATCATAAAGAAATTAATCTCAGCCCTAGCTGGTTTGGCTCAGTGGATAGAGTGTCGGCATGTGGACTGAAGGGTCCCAGGTTCAATTTCGGTCAAAGGCACAGTCCCTGGTCGCAGGCTTGATCCCCAGTAGCGGCGTTCAGGAAGCAGCCAATCAATACATTCTCTCATCATTGATGTTTCTATCTCTCTATCCCTCTCCCTTTCGCTCTGAAATCAATAAAAATATGTTTTTAAAAAAGAAATTAATCTCAGATATTCCCATGAGAATAGAAGTTTAGATTTTAAAGCCATTTCACTAAGTTCAAGATTTTCATTTTTACTTTTGTTTGAAATGAAGCCAGTGATACTGTATTTTCAGAGTTCATCTTTAGTACTTTATCAGTATCCTGCCCATATCAATAGTTTATTCTGTCAAATTATAATTAAACTAGAGGCCTGATGCACGAAATTTGTGCAAGGGACTCGGCCCTTGCAGCCCAGGCAGCTTGCCTCAGCCCTCGCAGCCCCGGCTTCGTCCAGGACGTCCGGAAAGTCGTTTGGCCATCTGGTCTAATTAGCATATTACACTTTTATTATAGACTAGAGGCCTAGTGCATGAAAATTCATGCACTGGACGCGAGGGGGTGGGGGGGACCCTCAGCCTGGCCTGCCCTGCCCCCTCTCACAGTCCAGGAGCCCTCAGGGGCGGGAGTCAACCCAGCGATCAGGGGAAGGTGACGCCCCATCACACCTCTGCTGCTACCATCAGGGGAAGGTGACGCCCCATCAGGCCCTGGGCGGCTGGGCAGCTGCCATCCGAGGCTTGCCTGTGCCTCGGGCTGAGGGGACTGAGGGACTCCGGAGGCAGGCGCACCTGTGCCTCGGCTGAGGGGACTGAGGGACTCCGGAGGCAGGCGCACCTGCCGCCCCGGTGGGGCAGAGGGGACTGGGCACCACCATCTTGTGACTGTGGGTGCCACCATCTTTGAGGGTGTGGCAGTCAATTAGCATATTCCCTCCTTATTGGCTGTGGGTGCCGCCATCTTTGAGGGCAGAGAAGTCAATTAACATATTCCCTCTTTATTAGATAGGATTTAAGTTATACTTCTGGATGCATGAATTCTTGTGTGTGGGTTTTATTTTGATAGAAAATACAGTTCTAAACCTTCTATAAAATTGTTAATCTATAGTAACTCTGTTCTTCCAGGCATCTTAATTTTCATTGTTTACCCTTATATTTTATTTGCTACTGAAAAACATGTTGACATGTCCTTGCATGGGAGTACTAAGATTATTAAACATACCAAAGATATCACAGAAATAAGCAAGTTTTACTGTCTAGTTGAGATCTTTAAAATTGGGAAGCAACTGATTATTTTTTCTTTTGGAAAAACTGTTTATTTCCTAGTTCATCATTCTCAGCAGCATTTTTCTCTTCCATAACCATTGTATTTTAGCATGCAGTATAGCATATACACATTTATGATCTGCTTTCAGTTTATCACATATAGAGTCATTTAAAATTTTAAGGCATTAACCTTAGATAATTCATAATCTTTACTACTGTAGCAAGATTTTTTTGGAGCAAGACTTTTATCCGTGAAGGAAACAGTGTGTTAATGTACATTCTAGCACAAGCTTCTCAATCTAAATTGTTTTTCCATCTTGCCAGCTGTGTCTTTGGAATATACTCTTCCAAACACTTTATACTTCAAATCACATTTGTTGACAATATGACCCTAGTTTTATCATACAGATTAGTGTCCGGTATGTTTGTCAGCAAGAAACTGATAAAAGAATCCTTTATATCACCCTTACATTTAAATTACAAACATACCATGATAATTTTCATGTTTGAAGTAATCTGGCATTCTTCAAATTGCATTGAAAAATCACTTTGCTAACTTTATTTTAGTTTTCACTACCATAAGCCAGAGCCTGAACTACTTCAAGCTTTGGTGTCATTGGAAAGTTGTACCTGAATTACTTTCTTTGTCACAGATTTCCAAGCAAACATCTTTGATATAGTCTTTTACTAGTGTCTTGGTAATGTTTTTTAGTTAGCAACCAAATGTGCTCCTTTCTTAGAAAGCCGCAATTCACTAATGTTAATGTATGGAATTTTGCATCTGTTTTTATTGGCTTTTTAGTTTAGTGCTCTTTCTTTCGAAAAATTCTTTTGATTTGAACTTATTTCTTTATGTTTTGTATGTAAATGCTGCATTAGCCAAAACATCACTGCAAAGAACTCACTTTGGTTTTAGTACTGCATGATCATTGTGGCTCAGTGGTTGAGCATTGACCCATGAACCAGGTCACGGCACATGCCAGGGTTGCAGGCTTGATCCCCAGTAGGGGGAGTGCAGGAGACAGCCGATCAATGATTCTCTCTCATCATTGATGTTTCTGTATCTCTCTCCCTCTTTCTACTCTCTGAAATCAATAAAAATACATTAAAAAAATAAGAGGACTCATAGAATAAAAACAGTGTGAACTTGGTTGTCCTTCATTTCTTTGGAATTATTTCCATTATCGTCTTATGGTTTATTACTATTGCTGCATTCAGAAAAGATGTGGGATGTGGAGAAAAGGGAATCCTAGTACACTGCTGGTGGGATTGCAGACTGGTGCAGCCATTACGGAAAACAGTATGGAGTTTCCTAAAAAAATTAAATATGGAACTGCCATTTGACCCAGTGATCCCACTTCTAGGAATATATCCTAAGACAGGGGTCCTCAAACTACAGCCCGCGGGCCACATGCAAATACAAATATTGTATTTGTTCCCGTTTTGTTTTTTTACTTCAAAATAAGATATGTGCAGTGTGCATAGGAATTTGTTCATAGTTTTTTTTAAAACTATAGTCCGGCCCTCCAACGGTCTGAGGGACAGTGAACTGGCCCCCTGTTTAAAAAGTTTGAGGACCCCTGTCCTAAGAAATTCAAAATACCAATCAGAAAGAATGTATGCATCCCTAAGTTATAGCAGCACAATTTACAACAGCTAAGATGAGTGGATAAAAAAGCAGTGGTACATTTACACCATGGAATACTATGCAGCAGTAAAAAAAAAAAAAAAAAGATCTCTTACCCTTTGAGATAGCATGGAGGGACCTGGAGAGTATTATGCTAACCGAAATAAGTCAGTCAGAGAAAGACAAGTATCACATAATCTCACTCATATGTGAAATCTAATGAACAAAATAAACTGATGAATAAAATAGATCCAGAGACATAGCAGCATAGAACAGACTGCAGAATCTCAGAGGGAAGGAGGGGAAAGGTGGGTGGGTGGGAAGAGTTCAACTAAAGAACTTGTATGCATATATGCATAACCCGTGGACACAGACAATAGGGTGGTGAAGGCCTGGGGTTGGGGATGGGGGCAGGCTGGAAGGTGTTAATGGGGGGAAAAGGGAGACATGTAATACTTTCAACAATAAAGATTTAATTTACAAAAGAAAAAAGAAAAGATGTATTTTCTTCACAAAAACAGTGAGGCTGCCTGACCGG